CCATCCACACTTGCAACTTCAACTGCAAACTCAACTCCAATCAATACAACTACCAAGAAACCGATCTCTATATTAACTCTAGTCCCTGCATCAACCCAATCCTGACTGTATCCCCAATTCCAAACCTAACTTTAACCCTTACTCCAATTCAAAATCACCTCCATTCTAGCCCGAAACTAACCCACATCCCAATTTGGAGCCTAGCTTCAACCGTCATTCATCCCTAGCTGCAATCAATTCTATCTCTTCCTCTCCTTGAACTTAAATCCCATCCATAAATTCCTAACATATGTTTCCTATCCCTAGCCCCTCACAACCCCATTCCTGTCCTTCACCTTCCCTGGCTGCTCACTCCCACTGCACTCAGTCAGTAGGAGCCAACTTGTGGCTGGATGGCTACACTTATTGCCATCAAGATGCATGGTTGTGAGTGCACATACATACACAAACACTAGGAAAGTGTGGGGGAAGTTCAGCCTAACTCTGAGCATAACCTGAGAGGGCAAGTGGCCCAAGTGTTTCCTTCCCCTCCTGAAGGCCAGACCCCTTTGGGGTTCTTTCTTGTCAATCTCTGCTCCATTAGATTCCTTCTTCACCGCTGACTCTCCACACTCAAATATTTCTGCCCCTTCTTCACTCCCTGTCCTGGCAACTGCCCAGAAGCATGTTTGTACAAGGGTAAAGTTTTGCTACAAAATCATAGAAAACTTTTTTAAACAAAAATATCAAAATGTGAAGCTACTGTTTCTCAATATAGCCTCCATCTATGTCTGTAACCTTCTGAAGGCATTTTTTCCATCTCTTTAGCCTTTCCCCAAAAGAAGAAGGCTTACAATATTTACTGACAAAGATGAAAGGCCAGCTTTCAATGTGGATTGCACTTCAATGTAAAGAAAACAAACATCCTCACAACTGGACCAATAAATAACATTATTATAAATCTAAAAGATGGAAGTTGTCAAAGACTTCATTTTGCTTGGATCCACAATCAACACACATGCATGCAAGCAGCAGTCAAGAAACCAAACAACGTATTGCATTAGGCAGATCTGCCACACAAGATCTCTTTAAAGTGTTCAAGAGTGACTATATCAGTTTGAGGACTAAAGTGTGCCTTACCCAAGCCATGTGAATGTGAAAGTTGGACAATGAATAAGGAAGACGGTAGAAGAATTTTTGCATTTGAGTTGTGGTGTTAGAGATAAATATTGACGGTACCATGGACTACCAGGAGAACAAACAAATCTGTATTGTAAGAAGTACTACAGCCAGAATGCTTCTTAGAAGCCAGGATGGTGAGCCTTCATCTCTCATTCTTCAGACATATTATCAAGAGGGACCAGTCCCTGGAGAAGGAAGGACATCATGCTTGGTAAAGTGGAGGTTCAGGAAAAACCAGGAAGACCCACAATGAGATGGACTGGCACAGTGGCAGCAGCAATGGGTTCAGGTGTGGCAACAATTGTGAGGATGGTGCAGGACCAGGCAGTGTTTTGTTCTGTTATGCATCAGGTCACTATAAGTCAGGACTGACTCAACGTCACCTAACAACAACCCTTCCCCACATCAAAACAGTAGTTTGGGCAGCATGGAGGAAATCCTTTTAAATGTTCTTTGAGTTTGTAGAATAAAAACTAGTCTGAAGGGACAAAATGAGGGCTGTAGTTGGGTGGGAAGTTTTGTTTCCCAATGAAATTCTTGTAGGACAGCTCTTGCTACCCTCAAAGAACGAGCAGGTGCATTGTGATGGGAAAAATTCTTCGGCACAACTTTCCTGGCCTTTTTCTCACCAGAGCAGTTTTCAATTTTCTTGAAAATTCTTCCTAACAAGCCCGTCATTATCTTGTATCCTTCTTTGGGATCTCAAAATAATAGTTACCATAACCTTCTGAACTGACCTGTCTGCCTTGAATTTAACTGGCTCAGCAGATCCTCTCAGAAGCCACTGTTCTGATTGGACCTTTTTGTGTTTGAAGGCACCCTATTGAGACTAAGACAAATAGATCACAGAGAGGACTTGTTTGCAGTCATTCACTGACCACAAAGACATGTTAAATAAGCCTTGTTTGGAATAACCTCATGCATGTATGAACTGGGACCCTAGTAGCTATACCTTTGGACTAACTTTCATGGAATTGAAAGATGGGGTCCAAAGTCTGTCTTTACTCCTGTGTACTGGGGACCCCTGCTCACAATAGCACACACACTGAGCATGCATTGTGCTCGGAGCATAGTCTTAATGGGGTAAGTCTAGTGGAACATAATCACACACCTAAGTAATTCTACCCCAACCAGAGTCATGGTAGGAGGATGTACTTGGTTTTATGGGAACTGAAAGATGTTATCTGGAGATGCAGTGGGGATTATTTGTGTTGGGCCTTAAAGCTTGAGTAGGAGTTCACCTGACAGGAAGTTATGACCTTACAAGCAGATGGAACAGTATGTTCATCCAAGGGGTTGAGCCGATAGAAAAGGGCCAGAGGGAGGAGACTAGTTGGAGCTAATTGGGGGAGTGGAGCAGAATGGTGGGCATATATTGGCAGACACAGCAAATTTAAACTCCTCTGCCCTTGGACTGTGAGGGCCACTCCATGCTCCCCCACCCTCAGTGCTGTCCTAACCGCAGCATTGCCAGAATCCTCAAGGACAGAGTCGGGTCTGCCGGCCCAGTGCAGTTGTCGGGGGTAAGGAAGTCAAGGACAGTAGGGACGGCTCATTTAGGACATTCTGAGATGGAAGGATGGGCACCATAGTGGGATCAGCACACGATGAGGTCAATCTTGCCTCAGACAGGCAGCTCATCACCAGAGGGATCAATGGAGATCAGAAGTTGCTTCTGCTGCTGCTGCTATGGTAAAAATAGTCATAACTAAGTGGTCTTCTTGTTTGAATGCTTTCTGTGTGCCATGCACTGAGTTATGCATTTTTATGACCTCATTTAATTCTCAAAACAACTTAATGTGGTAGATAATATTATTTTTCTTTGAGAGGGAAAAATGTTTACCTCAAGTTCACACACATCAAATTTGGTAGTAAAGTTTGTCTATTACAAAAACAAGCAAGCTGTTCTCCTGGGAGCCATCAAGGCAAGTCATCAAGGCCCTTCAGGACAAACCTCTTTCCAAGACTGAAACTCAAAGGGAACACATGAGCAGGCTTATAAGCTTGCTGGTGACCGAGTTGTACTTGTGAGTGGAAGTAGGGGAAGGGCAGTAATGAAGATATGGGCTGAGCCTGACCATGTTCAATAGACTCCTATCAACCTTGAGATGAGAGAAAGAAGAGGAAGTGCTGGTTGGTCTGAAGTATGGACAGATTGGACAGACTTGGGAACTCCTGAGCCCATGGACACTGACCTAGCCACTGGGGGCTACAGCTGAAAGTGAAGCATTCAGCTGATATGAAGTTGGGGGAGGTGCACAAGAATGCCTAAACTTACAGATAGTACCCATTCGACATAGCTTCAATAGCCTGATGATCAGAACTCAACTAGAGGAAGATAAAGAAGTCTGATACAGGAAGCAAGTATAAATTGCTACAATTTGATGAACTTAACCTTTGCCTATGGTTGTAGCTACTGAAAATATCAACCAAGAGGAAAGGAGTCTTCACATCAAGAATCAAACTCATCCCCTCAGTACACAGGATTGATAGGGACAGGAAACTTAGACATTGGCTACCTAAAATGGGGATGGCTATAAAGGCACAAAGTGACTGGTTTACAAGTTTTCAAGAGGAAGTTTAGTTTCAGAGAAAGCAGGGAAAAGTAGAATTCCCACTGAATAGTTTTCATCTTGTCTAGATGGGTCTGGTGAAAGGAGATGGTGATAGGATTCTTTTGATTCAGTAGTAATTGTTATTATAACTAATTGTGATTGTCAGAATTGTAAAGGTAGAATATGTGTAACAAAAAAGGGGGAATAGTTAATCTTACATACCAGGATCAGAAGACCCTAGGACCATCAGGAAGGAAGACCATGAGCGGAACTAGGGACCCTAACCAGAGAAGCAGTGACACCAGAGATGGAGGCAGAGGTGATGACATGGAGAGATAGAGCGGCTGAGGACTCTAGACTCATACAAAGAGAAAGGTTGTGTGCTGGTGGACAGGAGGCTGGCTTGTAGAATGTGCCTTTTGGTTGTTTACTCTATTATATATTCCTGTGTGTTTTTATGTACATCAAAAAACAGGAAACAGATACAAATACTGTTAATTGATGTTGCATGGAGGGGATTGTAATCATTGAAATGAAACAAAATACGATTGGTTGAGTGTAAAACCTATGTTCTGCCATGTAAACTATTCACAATAAAAACTTAAATTTTTTTTTTTTTTTTTAAGTAGAAGGGCTCTGAGTCCTTCCTTAGCACCACAGTCGCCAAACCTGACATCTACCTTGGTCTGCAGTCTCATCATTCATAGCCTGAGCCTTCCCCTGTCTAGACACTTAATGGCTCACACTTCCCTGGATATTCCAGCTCTGCCTCAAATCCTAGCTGTCCTAAGTGTAGCATCCTCTGCAAGAAATTGTCTCCCACTCTCAGCCCCTCAATAGCCACCCTCTCCAGGACTTGGCACAGACAGTGCCTCCTCTGGGAAAATGTACTGAACTCCTCTGTCCTTGGGCTGGTAAGGTGGCCACTCCATGCTCTCTCCAAGCCCACCACCCTACCCCAGCATTGCCACGGTCTGGGCTCCATCCCAGTTGCCAGTAAGTGTGTGTGGTTGGAAAAATGCAGGACCCAGAACAACTGTGGGTCAAAGTGAGTGCCCAGGGAGTGGTGGGGGGAGGCGGGGTGGGGGTCAAGCAACCTTTAGAAATGATCTCTTATCTCCCAGGACTGTCTTGATACTTATCTATAAGGTCTGAGTTGACTGTAGATAGATGAAATGGTAACAAAGACTCTTGGTTACTGAGTAACTCTGTCCTCTTTATAAGTCCTGTTGTTTCCCGCTGGCTTCCAGAACCTGCCTCTCCCGTCTCTCGGGTGCAGCTGCCATGAACACCTTCCTGCTCTCTGTGCTGTGTCTGCTGGGGGCCTGGGCTTCCCTGGCAAGTGGAGTCACTGTGCAGGTATGTCCTCTGTTGCCACATTGGCCCAGCGTTGCTCTGTCTCTCGAACACAGAGAGGAATCCCTCCTTGGGTTCTGGAGCGGAGAGACGTGTCTGGGGCCTGGCTCTTTCTCAGGGACCCCCTCTTCAGTCCTGCCTCACATACTTCCCCTTCAGACATGAAGGAGAAAGGACATCACATAGAGAGAAGAGAAGTAACCGTTGGAGAGGTGAATGATTAGCCTATTTTCTGAGTACTTGTATGTGCCAGGCACCTCTCCAAGATCTCATTTGTGGCCCTGGGTGAGATTAGCTCCATTTTACAGAAGAGAGACGCCGAGTCTCATAGAAGTTCTGTGTCAGTCCATGGCCACGTGGCTGGGAAATGACAGAGCTGGATATCAATTTGACTCCTCTGTCCTGTGTGCAGCCAGAGCAGCCATCTGGGAGCCAGGTAGTCACCCTGGAGGATCTGATGGATAGGGGTGCCCACTGAGTCGATGCCAGGGACAAGCCAGTCTGGCACTCACTGAGACCTGGAACCTTTTATTGCTTCTCAGCAACCAGCCAGGTCACAGGCTGGAGGTGAGGGCACTAGTCTCTGGCAAATAGGGAATGAACCCAGCGTGGGCATGGTCTCAAGAAACCAGGATTCCCTGAACCAGCTCTGCCTTTGTCTCTATTCATCAGCACAAGAGCTCCGCACTGAGCACCTATTGTGACTCCAACACTTCACGCCCATTTTCTTCATCCCTCATAGAATATGCAACTCTAGGGCTCTATCAGTGTCTTGGCTTTCCCACAGTGATAGAACAGAACTAGGTTCGGGCCCAGCGTCTGACTGTGAGACTTGAGCTCTGACTACCATGTGGTATGTGGAAGTAGAGCGTCTCATTGCCAGAGACACTACCTGAGAACCCCTGGGGCTGAGACAGGCTCATCCCAAGGGAAACAGCCAGGAAGCAGCCTGAACCTGTTGTCACCATCTGGACATGTTCCTTTCAGGATGGAGACTTCTCCTTTCCTCTGGAGTCAGTGAAGAAGCTCAAGGATCTCCAGGAGTTCCAGAAGACCAGGATTGAGACCCTCAAGAGGGGCAGAATGGTGGCTGGAGACGTGGTTGAACCCTTCCTGTGTAGCCACCCAGACTTTCCCAAAGAACTCAAGCCTCTCTGCAAAGAGCCCAATGCCCAGGAGATCCTGCAGAGGCTGGGTGAGTAGTCTCTTCTACAGTTGGTGGGGGTTGGCAATTCTCGTCTGATTGGTGGCACTTGAGAAAAAGATGTACTTTGATTGGGATTGGGATTCGGAAGAGGGGTTCTGCTCTAACTGACGAGACAGGAAAGCTCTGCTCCAATTGTTGGGCCTGTTTAAAGCACTTAGCTTTAATTAGTTGTAAGTTGTAGTGGGTCAATCTTGAAAGTTCTTCACTCTGACTGATGGGGTGGTGGCACCGAGTTTCCATTCCTCTGAGTACTTCCTGTTTGGTTAGAATCTCTTCTGCTCTGATTGGCTGACTTGAGTGGTCCATGACCCCAGGTTTGGGTGGACCTCTAGGCCAGAGGACGCTTGGGTCTCTTCCAGGGTTGGGTAGGGGAATGGCTAAGACCTAACTCAAGGGAGGAATAGGCATCCAGGGGGATGAGGGGGAGCTGACTCTCACGAACTTCCATCTCTCTTGTCCAGAGGCCATCGCTGAAGACCCCAGCACTTGTGAGATCTGTGCTTTTGCTGCCTGTGCTGGATGCTAGAGCTGCCATGGGCCTGGCTGCCTTCTTCCCTTTCCCGCAGGAGAGCCCACTCTCCTGCCCATGGGAGACTCAAACAACTTCCACTCCCAGCAGCTGAAGCTACCCAGTCCCAGAATGGAGTGTGTGAGGAGAGACACAGTCTGGGCAGGGGCTGGTGAATGGAGTCCCTGCCCCTTCCACCACTGAGCTTCTGGATGCTTCCAAGATCCAACCCAGGCCACAACAAATAAATGAGATCTCAGAATGCTCCTGGGGTTGCCTTAATTTTTTAGTCAATCCATTCAGCTTTGTTGATACCTCTGATGCTACCCTGCCCTCAGGACCTCAAGAGTCAGTGTACTGAGTGGAAGGACCCTGTTCTCCCATCCCAGGCTGACCCCTCACAAAGTCACAGAGGGGACCTGAATCTTCAGACCTCTAGTCAGGTGTGGGACGTGGAACTTCTGTGCTTTCCCATGATCATGAGTCACCAGTCACTAAAGCACTGGTGTCTGTCTGGGTTTGGATGTTCAGTACAGACACTCGACCAGTTATGAGATCAGCCCCAAACTCTTGGACATATCTTCAATGTCCCTCAGCATCTGGTCCTGCTCCCCCCCACTGCCCCTAGCCACACTGATCCCCATTTCCTTGGCTCCTGCTCACCTCTGTGCCTTCCTCTTCCCAAGTAGCTAACCAGGTACTCCTGCTTAGAGGAAGTGCTCATTCAGGATCCCTCCCCAACCAGGTGTGGGTCCAGCATAGAGGGAGGGTGCAGAGGGAGGCATGGGTTCAGGATAGACTTAAGAGGTGGCACTGGGGAGCCATGGAAGGACACAGGCATCACCACAGGCAGAAAATGCTTAGAATAGTGCTGAAGACAGAATAGATGCTCCATAGTATTGGCTGTTACTATTCCTCAGGGCACCTGGAAGCATGGGCTGAGAGGAGGAGCAAAGGTCTTCCATCAGGAGGTGGCCAGAGTGGGTGGAGCAATGGGTGACCTCCTCCCTGTGTCCTGAAGAGAAGACATGGGTTCAGGGTGCTGTGGGAGAAAGCAAAGGAACTATTTTCTCAGAAAGGGCCTGAGCAGAGTTGGCTCTGATGTCCCCAAACTGCTGTACTTCAGGTATTCCTGTCTGGTAAATGGAGAGAAAAGAATATCAACCTGACAACTTTGTTCTGAGTAGGAATGCACAATATAGGTGTTCAATAAATGCTGGTTTATCACTTTCCTCTCCACCAAAGCTACCCTATCATTCAGATTACAATTTAGCTGTCTTCTGCTCTTGGAAGTTCTTCCAGGCCCCATCTGAGCCCACAGGATGGGCATTAGCTACCCCTCCAGGTCACTTAGCTTCTTCACTGATTCCAGCCGGTTCTGGGATTATCCAGAAGGCTGGACCCCAGGTGGGAAGAGATGAGGGTATAACCATACCTGCTCCTGGGGCAGGCTTTGCCACAGGCCCCAGGATTCCTGGGACCCCAAGATCCTTTGCATTCTTTCCTGTTCTCTGGGAAAAGCCAAGGCACATTGAAAGACCAGCCTGGGGTGTCAGGGTGGTGTCTCAAGCCTCCTCCCTGACACACATTGTGCTCCACTGTGCCACACACATACCACTGTGCCACAGGCCCTTGGTATTAGCCAAATGAAGTTGGATCAGAATTTAGGGCTCAGTGCTTTTATATATGGGCTTTAGAGACAGGCAGTTGTTGTTGTTGTTGTTGTTGTTGTTGTTGTTGTTGTTGTTAGGTGCCATCAAGTCAGTACTGACCCATAGCGACCTAATGCACAGCAGAACGGAACACTGCCCAATCCTGGGTCTACCTCACTACTGTTGCCACACTTCATTCCATCGATGCTGCCACTTGACCAATCCATCTCATTGGGGGGGTCTTCCTCTTTTTCTCTGGCCCTCCACCTTACCAAACATGATATCCTTCTCCAGCGACTGGTCCCACCTGACAATATGTCCGAAGTATGAGAGACGAAGTTTGGCCATCTTGGCCTCCAAGGAGCACTCTGGCTCCACTTTTTCCAAAACAGATCTGTTAGTTCTTTTGGCAACCCATGCACTTTCAATATTCTCCTCCAACACCACAATTCAAATGCATCAATTCTTCTACGGTCTCCCTTATTTACTGTCCAGCTTTCACATACATGAGGTTATTGAAAATACCATGGTTTGGGTCAGACGCAACCTAGTCCTCAAGCTGAGGTCTTTGCTCTTCAACACTTTAAAAAGGTCTTGTGCAGCAGATTTGCCTAATGCAATACGGCGTTTGATTTCTTGACTGCTAATTCCATGAGTGTTGATAGTTGATCCAAGAAGAATGAAGTCCTTGACAACCTCAATCTTTTCTCCATTGATAAGAATGTTGTTTATTGTTCCAGTGGTGAGGATTTTTGTTTTCTTTACATTGAGATGTAATCCATACCAAAAGCTGTGCTCTTTTAATCTTCATCAGGTGTGCGAATAGGTTGTATTCTTTCACCATACTTATTCAACCTTTATGCTGGGCAAATAATCCAAGAAGCTGGGTTTTATGAAGTAAAACGTGGCATTAAGATTGGAGGAAGAGTCGTTAACAATGATATGCAGGTGATACAACCTTGCTTGCTGAATGTGAAGAGGACTTAAAATATTTACTGATGAAGAGACAGGTAGACCCTGGTTCAAATTCCAGCTCAGTCCCTGTGGCTGCCTCTGGATTGTCCACTCTGAGCCTCATATTCCCTCATCTGACAAATGGAGATCATTGTCATACCTCATTTTTCCTGGGTGTTGTGAAGGTCAAGCAAGTTCCCACACAGTCCTAGGTTCCCAGTGTGCTCCCCTTGAACTGAAATGGCAATGTGATGGCCACCCCAAGATGGTTGAGCTCAAGCTCAGGATTTAGGGGGAGGCTGACCCTTCTGCACCCCTGCCAGAACCCCCTTCTCTCTTTCCCTAGGTTGAGGAATGTGACCCCCAGTCTTGTGTGAGAGCCTAACCCAGGGCCACACTTCTTCCCTGCCAAGCTCAGAAAGCCTGCTTCCTCGGGTCCTTGCATGGATGGGACCAAGCCCCTTGCTGTCTTCTCTCCAGGACTTTGCATATGCCTGTGATTGTTTTCTCAGCTTTTGTACCTGGCTCCTTCCTGCTGAAGACTTTCCTCCCTGGAACACATTTTCTGGTGATTACATCCCTCCACCAAGCTGAACTGCATGAATACCAAGAACGGTGGGAGTAGTAAAGTGACTCTTGACTTTGCAAGGGCAGAAATCTTGTCTTGTTCCTCACTTGTTCCACACCCCAGGCTGGTCTTTCAATGTGCCTTGGCTTTTCCCGGAGAACAGGAAAGAATGCAAAGGATCTTGGGGCCCCAGGAATCCTGGGTCTTGTGGCAGAGCCTGCCCCAGGAGCAGGTATGGTTATACTCTCATCTTTTTCCACCTGGGGCCCAGGCTTCTGGATAATCCCGGATCCAGCTGGAATCAGTGAAGAAGCTGAGTGACCTGGAGGGGTAGCTAGTGCCCATCCTGTGGGCTCAGATGGGGCTCAGAAGAACTTCCAAGAGCAGAAGACATCCAGGTTGTAATCTGAATGGGGCAGCTTTGATGGAGAGGGTAGTGATAAGCTAGCATTTGTTGAGCACCTGAAATGTGAATGTCTGTGACAAGTACCCACCTTGGTGAAGAACAGAGTTTATTTAGTAAGCAGTTTATTATTGTTATCACCATCATTACTGCTAGCATCTGCCTCTTCCCACCTGGATGTGATTGTTGTTATTAAGTGCAGTTGAGTTGATTCTGACCCACAGTGACCCTGTACAGGGTTTCCTAGGAGCAGCTGGATGTGACTGTTGTTGTTGTTGTTAGGTGCCATTGAGTCAGTACTGACTCAGTGACCTTATGCACAGTAGAACGAAGAACTGTCTAATCCTGGGCCAACCTCACTACTGTTGCCACGCTTGAGCCCATTGATGCTGGCACTTTGCCAATGTATCTCTTTGGGGGTCTTCCTCTTTCTCTCTGACCCTCCACCTTACCAAACATGATACCCTTCTCCAGTGACTGGTCCCTTCTGACAATATGTCTAAAGTATGAGAGACAAAGTTTGGCCATCCTGGC